ACTCACTCTGAGGCGACAGCAGCAGGGATCGGCTCCTCTAATAACTCCAAACTGTGAAGAATCCAGAAGCAAAGCCATGGTCTGCTCGCATCCAGGCACTACGCTCACACACACACACACACACACAGGCGTAAACACACACACACACACAACAAAAGAGGCTTCAGACGTGCAGGCTACACCAACAAACATGGCAGTCGCTCCTCTCTTTGGACGTGGTTAATATACAACGCGTTAATGTTTAAATGACGCTGTTGCTATGAGGCTTTCGGTTTCGCCCTCATAAATATCCAACTATGCTTCAACTGAATGCAGGCCGGAGCTCAGATCTGTGTGTTTAGCCTGCTGGAGGGGAGGTCGGCCACGGATGCTCACAGGTGGCAGCAAAGAGAGGTGACTTTGCCCCAAGCAAGTGGGCACACCTCCTCCTCTGACCCCTAAACTGAAGCAGGGGGGTCTTTGCTGGCGGCAAAGCGGCTGCTCTTTTACGAGGCACCGGCACGCCCAATCCCTGCAAACACTTCATCATCAGGGGAATGTGTGTGTGTTCAGGTGGACGCTGTACCTCGTAGGCATCTGATAAGTGACGTAAGCCCTTCTTGAGATACTGGTAGTGTTGCTCCCGCAGTAACATCGGCCTAGAAGAGCAAACCGGAGATGGAAATTAATGACAAAGAAGACTTGATTTACCAGCTCAAACACAGTTATGACACAAGAGATAAGTTTGACATGCTATCGGCCAATGAGAACACAGGCCGAAATAATTCACCGGGGGGTGTTTCTGGTTAATTTACTGCGTCGTGGTCATTTAAGAAATCCCCCGGGGAGCATCTGGTCTAGTGCGCACAGTGTTTTCAGTGAATACACTTCCCGACTTCAGTGGCCACACACAACAAAAAGCATTTTTCCCCTCCCAAACACACGGTTAAAAACGGTTAAAAACAGGAAGACGGCGATCGGCCCACAGCTCCAAAGCGCCCACGATCCCCATCCTGTCAAATATCTGCATGATGCAGCACAAACGAGGCCCGAGAAACACGGCCCAGCTCCGAGCCGGTTTGAAACGACCACAGTCAAAGAATTGCGACCGGAGATAACCAGAGACAAATGTCCGACAGTGTTCCAGATTAAAGGCAAAGTGCTTTCAGATGATCTTTGCGGTGGGCCTGTTGTTTTTTTCTAAACAGGACACCGTGGACGGAAGCCAGACCACGCAAACAGAGCGTGAGGAATTCGAGCTACGTGCAAAAAAAAAAAAGGCCATTCTGGTGGAGTTGCGGACGTTTTGTGCCCTTCGGCTCCCATCATGCCAGAGAACGGAGGGGTTGCAGTAAAACAGTGTGAAGCAGTAAAACAGCCGGGAGGTTTCGGCCCATCGGCCTGTTTGACGCCGATTCAGCAGATGTCTTCGGGCCACGTTCTGCGTACATCCAACATGATGTCACGGCCCAGATGATCAGATGACTGTGGCACGGCCAGGCTCGAGGTGAACTCATCTGAGGCCTAAAATAGCACACTGTCCCTTTAAATGACCCAAACTGAACTGATGTCAGATAACAGAGTCGCTATCAGGTGTCTCATCCCGTTAGTCCGGTGTCATATGACAACCTGGACTCATCTGATCATCCTTAGTTTGCGTGTTTTTAGGTGTTTTCCTCTGTTGTTGTGTTTTTGTAATTGTGTGCATTTGAAAACGCCTCCGACCGACAAGAACAGTGAGGAAGATCTTAAGCTATCAAAAGCTGAGCTCCCTTTTGTTTTGAAAGAAAATAACTAATCAGTGGTACCTTATTTTCTGTGGTACAAAAATCTTAAACAAAATAAGATAAGTTACAACGTATTTATATTTGATGCGCTCTGGGAAGAAAAGAAGGCATCGTCTGTGTTTTCTCCAGCAAACAGCTCTTCCCTTAACTGTTTGTTCTTTTTACGTCTGGGCTGCGTTTCTCCACCACAGGAAGAACGGTGCACGCCTCATGTGCGCTGACGACCCTCCCACCCTCCTCTGCGCCCACCCAGGCCTCTTCTACGCCTGAACTCTCAATGCGGTGTCTTACCCCGCCGGAGCGTCTGCCCACACAGGGTTAGTCACAGATCATTATCAGAGCTTTCATTGTGGCAGATATGCCGCACAACAAACAATCGGAGGGGAGCGCAGAGCGGCGCTCGGCGGCTAAAAGCTGCTCGGCCCACCACATCAGAGACGGACGCGTCACAGCCCTCCGAGGGCAGACGAGGCCCCAGTGTAAAATTAAACCGGTTAGTTGTTTTTTTAAGAGATCACCCACTTTTTGATTTTAGTATATATGTGATTAGTCGGACTGGAGACTTTAAGTATCAGAGGATTTAAAAAAAAAAGTTTTAACTGGATGCTTCCTTTTCATATAATAAATAAATAAATAATCTTAATGTCCCGTTTATCCTGACTTTGCCTTCTGTCTGTATGCCCCAGAACAAAAACAGATGTTATCCCCCCTGCCCGGGGCCTCTTCTTATTAATACTATTCTTTTTCGAATGGTACCGAGTGCATTTCCTCGCCGGCTGCAGTGCTGGCGACCGGCAGCAGTTGGCATAGAAATGAGATGAGTCACCCCTCTGAGCGATGACAGCTGATAGCAAAAGCAAAATACGTGGGCTGATCAACACCGCACTCAGATAACATCGTGCATCACCGTCCAACCATCTCCATTAGCGAGCAGCCCCTGGGCAACGTTCTTGGAAACATGGCGGCAGACATTTTCGGCACTGTGGCGTCCCGTTGAATAGATGGCCATCAGCGCAGGATCTCCAGAGCATCTGGCTCTGAACTCAGCTGTCTGTGCTGTATTCATGTGAATCTGTTAGAGTTGATGCTAAACCCATTTAGTTGCCTTTTTTATCTGAATTTTTGTAACTAATTTTGTAAGAGCCACATGACAATAAAAAGGGGGAAAATATACATTTTCAGTATGAAAAAAAAAAAGCTAAAACGAATGATGATGGAGATCCCGAAGCCGAGACAGACTGGAGATACTTACTGTGGTAAGCTGTGGATTTGCTTGTAAACACTGATGACTTCCTCGATGCTACTTTCCACTTTTTTCTAGATTAAAGGAGAAACCAAGGGAATATCAGCAACAGCTTAATGTGGAGGGGAACTGACATGTTTATAGGCTAAGAAATTAAAACATCGCCTTGGTAACAAACTGTTTATGGAATATGTTGAATAAGATGTATGAAGACTTATGTGTTTTCTCCACGGTTCAACGCGTTCAGTAATTTTTTGTTTCCGACAAGCTTTGACAGGTTTCACTTCTCACTTCGTTTTAAGGAAATTCACATACACGTTTTTTTTCTCTGTTATGCAAATGCTCATCACATGAATCCTGGTGATGGCATTTAACAGTTTTACCTGCGGTCCAATGCTGACGTTCAGATTCTTTTAATCAACACCTGTCCCACTTTAGAACTCATCAGCAGTGGTTTTGAAGTGTTCATTAAATCTACATCAATTGAATTTGCTATGAATTTAATAAATATCATCTGTCCCAAAGTGGGTTTCTACCTTAAAGGAATTTCAACAGAATTTCCTCTATTTAAAAATTCTATTTGGGAACATAACCTAGTTTACTTGTCTATTCTGTGGTGTGTGTGGGGGAAATTAAAGATCAATTGCACATTATCCTGAAATGCAGCAGACAATCATACAGAGCTGAAATCAAAAGATGGAATATATAAAGATTGATTACATGCATTTCAGTTCAATACTGGTTTGACTGAATAGTGTTTAATTGTAGCCAAGAGTGACTAGGAAAATAGTTGAATTGCTAGTATAGTGCAGAATATGAAATTGATTTAACAACTTATTGTAAACGTGTTTCTCTCCAAACTGCTGTTACTACACCCTGCTCACTTTTAGACGTAATTTCAGGTGTCACATGTAGAGGACCATTCACTCTAACTATGTTAAGGTTTTAAAAAAAGACTATCAAACATATACACAAGATTTAACAAAGGTCTCATCATCAGTTTTTAGACAAGTCCTAACAACTTTGTCACTTGGTAAAGAGACACGTTAAGTTCATACAACAAACTTAATCTCATTATGGATTAAAGCTAGCTAAGTACAGGCTAAAATGTGCTAACTGAAGCTGGGTAAATGTAAAAAAACGACCTCAGAGCATTTTATGCTCTTTTTGTGCATGCAATTTGTGATTAAATAATAGTTATCATGTCCCAACATAAAGTCTGACAGTGTTCCAGGTGAAGCTCCATCCTGATCGCACAGCAGCACGTTAGCATTAGCCCCATTACCTAACGGAGCTCACCTGCTCCACTGAAGTCACCGTTTCCACGCCGTCGTCTGTGAACATCTCAGCGGCGTGGTGCTCTCTGAAGCACCGAAGAGGACTCGACAAGCCCTCCATGGCGGTAACCGTGGCCGCTATCTGCAGGGACAATGCGAGCGAAACGCTAATTTAACTAGTTTTTACTTTGTTTTGGTAGTTCTTTCACTTGAAAACGACGTCTTCCTGTTCAGATTGGAATGGGCGGAAGCTACGTGCGCACCAACTACGGAAACATCAAAGGAACAAACTTCTGTCTTTCGGCTTCTTTCATGTAGTGCCTGAACATGCAGATACTGTACACGTGCCATTTCTGTGAAAGGCTTGCAAACATTTTTATTGTTGCGTTTTTTTTTTATATGTTGCTCTATAATATTTCACCTTTATCATACATGCTTCTGTTTGTACATCCAAAAATGAGGAGACAACCGCTGTATTATTTCCTCCTTTCATCCAATCCGGTCAGCATCTGGCACAGAAAACCACCGGAAACTCTGAGGGGTGGTCTTCAAAATAAAGGCAGAAATAGAGTTTCCATGAGGTGGGGTGGGAGATTTGAAGCTCAGAACAAGAAAGCAGCACCAAAATTGTGAGTCACTAATGTACTACTAAATAAAATAATAATAATTATATAAAAATGTTTTAAGAAAAACAATTCTACCATCTCTAGTTGAAGCTGAAATGTCAAAAAATCGTGTTAATCAGTAAATGGGAATATAATATGAGCAAAATCCACCTAATGTTTAAATTCCTGAAGTCTTAATACATGGTAATTTTATACTAACTTACGAAAGGAGTGTGATAATTTTAGACTCCTATTAATTGAAAGGGGTTAGTGTTTGTTTTTTGTTTTTTTTTACCCCTTAAGGGATACAGTGGCTTTTATACATTACATTCACTGGAATCTGAGGGTACAAAGCATCTCTTCAAACTGAATGTACTTTATTTTTGGAAATCAATTACCCTTTTGTTCTTATTTTGGCAATCTCAACCGGATGTGCCTAGGTCTCATTAGGTCTAGCCTGACAGTGGTCCACCGCGCCCACTGGAAGCTGGAGGTTGCCTGGGAAGCTGGAGCATCCCTGTTTTGTCACCGACCGATCCAGCACCGGTGGACAAAAAGCAAGCCCGGCCACAGCCTCATGTGGACCTTCTGAGCAGGGATGGGACGCGGGTGGGGAGGAATTGGCCATTCAACGCTGAGTTAGCTGACTCCAGCTTTTTCAATTCAACACTACGTGAAACAACATCATGGCTAAGCAGTATGATGTGCTCTTCCGACTCCTGCTCCTTGGAGATTCAGGGGTTGGGAAAACATGTTTGTTATGCCGATTCACAGACAACGAATTCCACCCGTCTCACATCTCCACCATCGGTAAGACTCTGCACTGCCAGCACGACGTATTTCTAGTCTTTTTTATTATTTCTTTAAACTCACATGTGTTTTGTCGTCACTCCTGTTTATCCAAATGCTCTTTTGGAAATGTCTGATGATGGGACCCCTTTGTTCCTTTGATATTTTCTATGGAAATTCGGCTCATTCGTCTGGAACAAGAATCTAAATACTGTGATTTTCTAAAACCACTAATTAACACGGGTGTGAAATGTTGACTGTACAATGAACGTGTCTGAATTGGTTGTAGCCTTGAAAGAGAAGAGCGAACAATCCAGCCATTCAGGCGAGTTTACAAAGTATGTGAGCGGAGGTTGTGCTCACTTAGAATATCAAATCCAAAAAATGAGTTTTGGAGTCTGTCGTTACTTCATGCCAACAAACAGGGAGCATCATACCTTAAAGACGAGGTTTCTCATTGCACGTGCCATGCATTTTGCATTTGCATGAATATATTCAGCTTTTTCTGATTAACACTCTCCAGACTTGTAAATTTTCACCCGCCTTTGAGATGATTATTTACCCAGTAGGATTGAATCAGCACCTGTCCCAGTGGTTCATTTGGGCTTTGCAGTGTACATGTCATCATGGCTTGGATCAGGAGAGAAGACTATGACAGGCGTATGATCATGCTTTACTTTAAGGAATTGGCCTCAAGGATGCAGAGTTTTTCTTTCTGTCATATTCTCTTTGGCTGTCTATTCAGTGTGAATCAAAGACACTGGAATTTATTTTTCTGTAATGTTTAGTGTCCAAGAATACCCGTCTTTAACAACTGCCATGACGCCATTGTACATGAAGTATTTGTGAGGCATTAATCCTCCCAAATGTCGTTCAGCATTGCATTTTTCTTGTTGTGTAGCTGATTAGGTTGGCTCCAGTTTTGCGACAACAAGCATCAGGACTTGTGTTTAGAAATGCTTCTGTAGCTTCGCCGTTCCGCAGACCCAAGTCGAGATTCCTGACTTTTCTGGTAAATCCGAAGTTGGGCGTGCACAGACTTAAGTCTAATATCCGTTGTGTGTTTTCACCTGCTCTTTGCTGTTATGACTTACGCTCGCCACTTGGCTCCGACTGCAGTTTTCTATTTTAAGTCAAAGACCTATGGTGCTCTACAGGAAGCTTCCACCCTGTAGAGTGATGCTTACACTGAACGTGGCATGCCTTTCTCTTTCAGCCTGTTTGTGCGAATTAACAAAAAAAAAAGATGAGTGTTGTGATCTTTTTGAGTTTGTTGTTGTCGTGGTGCTCACCGTCACAGCTGGAAGAGTCTAACTCTCATGTCCAGGTATTCATATTGGACAAAAAGTTCCAAAGAGCAGGTGGGGTCCAGAAGTCACGCCGAGAGGCGTTTCATGGGTCTCCACTGATTAAAAAAAATCCTCTTCTCTGATAAACAAGGTCCACACAGTTCAAGAAGAGGCCACCACCAGTGCTGTCCTGCCGAGGATCGATGACCGCCTCAACCTTCATGGACACCAAAGGATATTAATCCTCTCCCGTGATCCCCTTATGGACAACTCTATTATTTATCACTTCCTCTGACAGTCCAATCTTTCATATTTTCTCTTAATTACCTCTAAATATATCAGAATTTTTTTAAACCATTATCGTAAAATTTCTAACTGATAAATAATTGAGCATGAATGGAGTGTTTTGTCTCAAAGGTAAAAGATTGATGCCTCCTCCCAATTAGTCACGCTGATAAACGCTCAGGCTAGCTCTGTGTAGTGTGTGGGTGTGTGGTTGGTCTATCCAGATGTGACTCTAAATGATTACTGTTATTCCACTGACATCGATCGGGCTTTAGAGTGTGTTGTTGGCTTTTTATTGACCGGTCCGTTTATTCAAATGCTCGCCTGTTTGAGTTGTAGGTAGTGACCAAAACAATTCAACGGGGGATGCGAGCACGCTTCTTCTCAAAGGAGTTTGCTCTCATACTTTGGGGAGAATGCCGGGATCGCTCCCAACCGGAAAGAGGGCCCAGCAAAGCTGCTGCTCCTCTCAAAAAAAGGGCTGAGACCTTTCGAGCCTGTTGCCGGGATGTTTCCCGGTCTCCTTCCAGTGGACGTGTTTGACACATGTTCCTCCGGAAGGAGCTCTGAGGGCCCTGTGGACAGATTCTGACCACAGGGCTGGAAGCTAATTAAATTGAATTTTAGTTCTCTTTTAATCCTGCCTGACCCATATGCATCCACTCCTATTTGTATATATGGCACCACACACGATGAGAAGAGAACACCCGTCAATGTGAGATGTTTAAATAGGACAGGTTCATCTGCCTCTCCATAAAGAGTCGCACTGTTTCAGCAGTTTTCCCATATATCCTTCCCTGGCTTTTGTGGAAGAATTTACTATGAGCTTGAAGCCCATTTTCAGGCTTATGCTTCTTACTTACGATCATCAGGTTTGCCAGTGATGTTTAAGACTGCGTAGTAGAGCTAAAAGACTCAGAAATGTGCTATTAATTAATAATCCAGAGACTACAGGATGGTTCTGAGATGTGATCTTACTTGAACAAAGAGTAATGCACCCTGACTTGTTGAGGGTTCCCGTTTCATTCCCACAGGCCACGGCGCTCCGAGCTGCATATTTCTCACATTTCTTCGGCACCGAGCAGCTGTTGAGATGATTCAGTGGTGATGTTCAGTCACACTTCAGAGTTTAATCTTCTGTTGCCTCGGTGGTCTCGTCACAGGGCTCCTTTGGACCTTCAGGCTGTCAAATTACCCATGAAATATACGCCTGTTCTGGCTCTACATCATATCCCAATAAGCGACCGTCCTGGTGGCGTGGATCCCAGCGGTCAGTGGGATCGGCAGCTCGTCGTTTCCACTCACTGCTTTATGATCGAATGGGTCCACACAACATCACAGAAGATGTTTTATTGAACTGTGTAGTGATAACACGGTAGATGTCACTACACCTTTGATCTATAAAGAGTATAAAAATGAGCCGATGTTTTTCAAAAATATGGAATACATGTTATTTTCCCCAGTCAAGTAAAGGATTGCATGTTTTTTTTCTTCCCATTGTCCACGATACAATTAAAATATGTATGTTGTTTCGAGACTTTAAAAGCTAAAGCAAATGCTGTTCGAATAAAACTGTTGATGTTCTGAGCCATGGGCTTCTGAAGAAGTAGATCTGAGTCTGGAATAAGCTTTTAGAGACATTTAGAGTGGAGGTCTTATCGTGACCACATATCTCATATTCAAACTAATTTAGGACCGCTTAAAATATTTACCGGCTAATGGCTTTGACATCTGCATAATATATTAGAAATGCATTATGTATAACATCACGCACAAGTTTAAGTTGATTATTTCGTTCTACAAACACTGTAGATTCATACATATAGACATATAACTTTTGGGAACTTTAAGGTAAATATTTACCACCGATAAAGCAGCTGTTGGCAGCTGCCGTGTGTCCTCTACTTGTATTGATAGTCATAGATGACAGATCCATTCCCCGGTGAATTAGTGTCAACACAGAGGCATTCATCCCTCCACCCATCCAGCAGTGGGCCTGTCACCATCACCTCCAGCACACTGACACGCATTAAGACCTAATCCGTCTTGCATTGTCAAACAGAGTCAATTAGTCCAGTCAATTTTGGGTGTGTACCCATTAGATTTTACATGCCTCTCACTGTGCAGATTGTGAAATGCTGTCACGTTAAATTAACTGCCGTCTCACGTTTGGGCACATTGCGGTCTATTGTTACAGTTACTGCCAAATGAAAGAGGGGAGCCAGAGAATTGCTTTTTTCATCCTGCTCTGCAGGATTTTGCATTTTGTAAAACTATATAAAATTGAACACTCTGCCCTCCAGGAAGTTTGCTCATAATTGAAGAGTCTGTCAATCAAATGGTTTGTTGTTTGTTACCGGGGCAGATTTGGATAGAACGTGTTTTTTTTTCTTTATTTATTTATTTTTCTTCCCTAATGAGGGTCACACAATAAAGAAGTAGTCTCTTCCACAGAGGGCATGAGCACTTAAGCTGAACGTTTTGTTTATTATCCAGGTTTGTCCTTCCTCATAGGTCTATGTTGGCGTCTGTCAAGTTAAAGTTAAAAGAAATGGGTGTCTTTCTCCTTGAAAGAAGATGGCTGAATCGGAGCAAAATTAATCCAAGTAAAAGAAGCAATCTGTTTGTATTTTCTGCTTTTTCCTTGTGGGTACCAGAATTGTATTCTTCCTCAACTTTTTCTACTGAGCTAGAGAATCCATCATTTAGACTTCCTTTGCTAAATTTGGATGAGAGCTTATTACTAATTCACTGTGATGAAAAATGCGCTCTCTTTTTCAGTAGCCTGTCCTCAAACTGCAGCCGAGGCGTCCCACTGATTGTTATGCTGACCTCGCGCTCGGTCTGGGCTCTCTGTGGTAAAAGCCAAAGGTCAAATGAAACCGAACCGTGGTAGCAGACTGATCCCCAGCTTCCACGGAGCCCTCGCACGACTCCATCAAGCTGCACACACATGCAGCGGCACGTCGTTTGCAAAGCCCGGCCAGACAAGCCGGAGTGCATCTGTCAGCTGTTTCTTCACCTCAGTTTCCTGGAAAACAGCCTTGCAGAAAAGTGACCATGGAAAACCATAAACGGCAGCGATTGAAATCATGCAAATCGGTTGAAATCGGCATCTCTTTCTCCAAGCCCGATGCCAGCTGTGACGCAGGTTAATTGGGATGAACTGCCAATCCATCTCTAATGGATTAGAGCGGTCTCCAGATACCTCAGGGTGAGCTTTCATTTGCCTTAGTCAATTCATCTGAGAAGATAGATGAACAAAAAAGAAGAAAACATCAAATTGTGAGTTTTAAAAAGAGATATTTCACTAATAAGGTATGTTTATTGTATCCTATTGAGACTATAGTCACATGCTCACCATCTTGCAGGCGTTTTCTTGTTGTGTCTGTTGGCATAGAGGTTATTATTAGAAGGTATATTCAACTCTCTCATTATAAAGGATTGGCGTGACTCTCATTATTTATCTGGTGTTTGCGGTATTTACGGAGTGATCCTTCATAATGGGGAGCTTTTGTCTATTGAAGACATGCCCTGCTCACTGACTTCTGTCACCTGTGAAAAGGCATTTCAGGCATTTAGCTGTTCTCTCTCAAACATCCCATTAATCCTCGGCTCAGTGAATGTAATTTGGCTTCTCCTGACCAAATCTTTTCTCTTACAGGCGTCGACTTCAAAATGAAGACTCTAGTAATAGATGGTATCAAAGTACGGATACAGATATGGTAAGATACGGCGAGGAGCCAATGTGTCATAAGGCTTTGTGTTTCAAATATTAAAAACACTGTGCCCAAAAAAGCTATGAGAGCAAAGATAGCCAAAACAAGTCAGATACAGGGAAACCAATACAACATGCTGTGGGTTAGTCAGAGGAAATCAATGTCGTATGACAGATTAGAAAAAAAAGCAGGGTGAGTAATATGATTTCAGGTAGGTGTGTATGGCAGGAGCCGGTTGGGCGGGTCATGAACTAAACAAGAAACAGGTGTGAATCAGACACATGGGGCAAAAGAAACAGAAATGAGCAGATCAGGAAGGAAATACTTTTTTTAAAATAATATATTAAATAAAATATTTAGATAAAACCAAAATCAATGACATACTTTTGTTAAACGTCTTTACCGTAAATTCAAATAATTAATTTCCTTTAACAGATCTGCCACTGACCTTTACATTTATTAACAAAAAAAAAAAACTTTTTCAAACCCATGGTACAATGGAAATTAACATTATGTTTCTGACACATTGGATTCAATGTTTGTTTGTTTTTCTGGTAAAATCTTTGTAGGGATTCATATTGTTTGAACATGAAATCATATCCCCAGTGTCTTGACTGTGAAATGTGTTTTTTCTGTATCTGTGCAGGGACACAGCTGGCCAGGAGAGGTACCAGACCATCACCAAGCAGTACTACAGACGAGCACAGGTGAGTTCAGCCTCTGCTTTATCGCACGATTTAACACGTCATTATCACTGCAAAAGAGTGAAAAAGGGCGTAAATCTAATCTGGTTTCCACTTAAAAGTATCGCTGTCAAAAGATGTGATGTCCCCATTGAGAAGGTGAAAAGTGACTTTCAATTCCCACCACCGGCCTTCCACCGCCACACAACCACCACCAGAACCCTCACTTTTCATTTTGTGGATTGTGCCTTTGCTTGGGGCTGCTAAAGAGATTAAAGTGGCTCAAAGTGAATTGTTCGTTTACCAGAAACTGCTAATGAAATTGGAGGAAAAGGGTCCTGTTGCTGTTTTCAGTGATAACCCATTTGAGTGGAGGTCTCATTCAGCCTGTGGCGTTTAAAAAAAGAAAGAAAACAAAATAAAAAGTTACTGGTAGAAAAGCTACAAATATTCAGAGAAGTGTGTTGTTGACAAGAATATTATTATTAGTATTATTTTTAAACTCACCCAATAGATAACTTTCAATGCTCGAAGACAATTAGAAAAACAAACAGGACTCAGGTTTTTAACATCTATTCTTCTTGAAAACCTTCGACTGTGTCCCTTCAGGGAATCTTCCTGGTCTATGACATCACGAGTGAACGATCCTTTCAGCACATCATGAAGTGGGCCAGTGATGTGGATGAGGTGAGTCACACAGACGGAGGATGAGCCAGCATTTTTCCACATTTTAGAAAGGTCCAAACCAAGAGATCTACAGGATGTGAGCTCAGGTTGATGAAGAACAGAAGGCTGAAAGCCACTGAGAACCAAATCCACTGATTTGACAGGTGTGCTGTGTCAGGTTTCATTTCTAGAACCGATATCTGTCACACTTTTAACATTGTTGTCATAAATAAATTAAGAGAACATACTTTTTTCCACTCAGCTTTTAGTCTTTGTAAATCTCTCATCTGCCCTGTCATTCCCACATGATTTCGCTCTATTAATTTAGAGATAATGGACCCAATTTCCTCTGAAGCTCTGCCTGAATGTATTATCGGTTCATCCTGGAATGCTTCGCGTTTACTTTTAATTGTGGTCTCATTGGTGTTTTCTCATGGGTGTTTCTTCTGCCATCTTTTGGCATAGGAAATTGCTCCTCCGGCCTTTGTTTTCTCTTCTCCTATCTCATCTATAAATGCTCTGTCGTACATTCCCCCTGCAGTACGCTCCTGACAAGGTGCAGAAGATTCTTGTTGGGAACAAGTCAGACGAGGTGGACAAGAGGCAGGTGGCCACTGAGCAAGGCATCAAGGTGGTTCAGACACTTACCAAGTCCCAGAATTATTTTTGTTACTCAATTTTAGATCAAATCAAAACCCCTTTTAGGGCAGTCTGCTGTCGGAGGGTTTTTCTTGTACATGTACTGACTGATGATGTCGTCTTACCCATCAAGGTGAAGGACAGTGAATGCAACAAAGGCTGTAACTCTTGGCAAACAGCCGTTAGAGAGCAGGATTATTTTTTGGCTTCGTAAATCACCTCCATAAACACAGCTTCTGACAGCCCAGTGAGCAGCACGAGTCAAGGTTTTTAGCAGTGCCAGTATTGTAAGCTCCCTCCCGGCAGATCTTCACAACCCTGCCAGGCTTTTAGATGATTTTTATTCGGTAGTGGTGCCTCTGTGTGATTGAAGTGAAAGAAATACACCTACTGTATAAAAGCTGCGCTTGAGCTCTATTGCATCGGACGATTACACTAAAAATAAAGAAGCATTCTGCACTAGCCAGAAAGGAAAGAAAGAGCTATTTTTTCTTCTACTTAAAAAAAAAAAAGAACTGAAATATAAATTTTTTCCCTCCAGCTGGCCAAGGCTTATGGGATGGACTTCTTTGAAACAAGTGCCTTCACGAACCATAATATAACAGAGGTGAGTGAGCCGTGAATAGTAACAGAATCAAGCTGTTATTACGGTGTAATTGGAGGAAATGACTTCATGTCCTGTGACTGTTTCCTTCCGAGACTTTTACACGACTGGCTGAACAGGTGCTGGCAGCCAATAAGAAGGACTTGGATCTACTCCGGATGTCCCTCAACGATGAGCTTAACCTCACGGCTCTGGAGGAAGAGGAGGGACTCTATGACAGTGCGGACGGCGACCAGCGCAAAGGCTGCTGGTGTTAAAGGAGCCTGGGGAATTCTCCCTGAACATTCGTCCTCTCCACACACTTTGCGCGCTCCCAGAAAAATGCATTAGTTTTCTTTTCCGCTCGAAATGAAGAGGACCACGTAGCTGCAGTTTTGAAACCGACTGTGTCGCTCTGTTTGTTTGCAGGTCTGCCAGGGTGTTTGAGCGCAGTTTTCAAGGATGATAAACAACATTTTGCCACAAAGTGCCACGTGTATGGTGAATATTTGCTCAGCTGGATGGAGCGTTTCTTGTCTCCGTCCATAGTCTCCATGGCAATGCTTTTTGACACAAAGCCTTGAGGGGAAATATAAATGAAGATGTGTCCATCTTTTTCCTGCAGTTTCATAACAGCTGTCTTGATACAGAGGGTAGGACAGGCCTTGAAATTGCCCATTTCTGACTTGATTTCCTTTCTTGCAATATTTTTCCAAGCCCTGTCTCTGATATCGATCAACACCACCGAATCAAAAATGTGACTGATTGCATCTGGCCCTCACCTTACCCTCTATGGATTTTTGTCTTTATTAAAGTAGTGACTATGTGGCCTGTCTTTTTCAAAGCTTCACATGTAGTACAAGAATTGTCCACAAGAGGGTGCCACATGCATTGCAAAAACAGGCCACTGGATACACGACCTGTGTTATCTTCAATTCAGTAGACGGTTTTGTTCTCTTCTGACTCTGTTGTTGGTTATCATTGCATTTTCAGAGCAGACCGTTATTGTAATGATATTATCCCAAATATATGCAGCTAATTTATTAGGTTCTTGCTTTGTTTTACAAACAATGGTGGTACAGGATGTTTTGCAACTTGCAGGTCACTTGTAAAACAAGGTTGGCATTGAGAAAAGACTTATTCAGTTTCCCTGTAGCAAAACAGAAGATATTTTTCTATTTGTTGTTTAATTAGCAGAAATGATGCTACACTAACAGCTATGATTACAGCTCAGTGTGTTGTACATACAGATTAATGAAGTTATCATCATGCATACTGTTAATTTGACTGTGTCGCCAGTAGAGGGCCGTGTACAAAGTCCACATGGATAGTCAAAATAGTCTCAAATATTGAAGATAATGTTTTCGTCATTCTTCCTCATGTCATTCTCTTCCTGTTTTGTATTTAGTCAAGTGAAGATTGCAATTTCCTTTTTCCCCTTTGCAGATTTGATCACGGAGGAATGAGTTTTGCATGCATTCGTTTTTTTTTTCCATCCTCTGATTGCAACTTCAGTGAAGTTAATAGCAGCCGGACCGTGACACAAAGTACAGCATTTGACCAGAGTTGCCTCCTGGAAGGTTACACAGAGTGACTATCAAGAATCTTGGCTACCTTCTTTAAAACTTCACGTAACTAAATGCTTCTTAAAACAAGTGTTACTGTGTGCAGTGTATGACACGGCAGTATGTTGTACTGAATGATGTAAGATACGCAATGTATCTGTGTTGTTTTTCTGGAAGTTTTTTCTCCTTTCTTGTAGACTACTTCTCTTGTATTGTGGAAATATATTACATGCAACATGTAAAATGCAACTTGTTATTCTTGAATAAAAGATGTTGGCTGTTTATGAATAAGTACTTGCAGATATATAACGGTATATAACGACTCCTAAGTCCGCTCTTTATCATGAGCTACAGCTTCATTCATTCAGCCAGTTGTGGTATGCCAAGATTTTCACAAGGAGCTATTTAAAAATCACCTATTTGGAGTAAAATATGATTTCATGCCTGTCAAACCACGTTATCTTTGGCATTTGTTCTTGTCTTTGACTCATGAAGAAATGCAACTTAAGACTTTGGGAAAACGTGTGTGTCTATATGTCAGGCTGTTTGTAAGAGATTCTATTCAAAATTGAGCATTAGAGACAAATCATAAAGAGATGTTACCCAAGACTTTTGCACTGAAAGAAACAGAGCACTGCAGAGGCTTCGTCAACACATCTCCACTCCTCAGGCTGAATGCGCTTATGTGTCATCTCTAGTCTTTACCACTAGGTGACAGTTTCCCCACATCAGACTTATTCTGAAGTCATGAGAATTTGATATGTCATTTATAAAATGTACACAGCACAAGATAGCAGACAGAAATGCTTGAGTCTAATGCTGGTTATAATCTCCTGTTTTCTAAGACTTAACTTGAGACATTCAGTTCTTTAAATTGCAAAGTGCATAAGAAATAGGGAGTAAATAAATACTTTCATAAATGCTATACTGGGGAGGGTTTTCTCAGTAATTATTAAAGAAAAGAACTACAAATCTGCTGTTCATGACTTTGTCCTCGCTGTTAAACTTGTGAACTCCTTAAAGCCTTTTAGTTTAATTTACCATTAAGATGAATATGCATGAGGAACTGTTGTCTGGTTGATAGATGTGACAGCTCAGTATCTATCACAAGACACGTACAGAATAACAAGCTGAATCGCATACTGACACGTTGCACCCACACAGACACACACATACAGTACACACACACACACATATAGACACGTATACGGCGGGAGGGAGCTCATTGTTGCTGCTGTGAGTGATCATCATCGTCGTCATCCTCATTTTTGCTGCACCATCCAGATCACATTCCTTCAAGTTTTGCAGCTGTCTGACATTCAGCCATATGGCGTGTGCCTTGTGTGTCACATGAGCAAGTGAGAGGAAATGAGAGAAGTTGGGGAATGATGGCAATATAAATTAATCTTTGTGCTGGAAAATGGTGAAGAATGAGACGGACAGAGAAACTCCCCGAAGTGGACAAGCAGAAGATACAGGCATCAGAGGTCGATCGCGTGAGATATTGAGCTTGATGGATTGCAGAGTCACTTACTGACAGCCTGGGAAATAAAAAGACCTGTAAAGTTTTTAAAAAATCTTCTCATTCATCTGTTCTTATTTTCTAGTCAGCTACTTTTGTTGTATGCGATATCATGGCTTCAAAAATGGTATTTCTCAGATAAAGTTGTATTTCTCAGCAACAATAAAAAGGTCAGACACAGAAACTATGGCAGCTAATATTCCACATTATGTGTCTATGAAACTTTCTTTGAGTGGACCACAAGAACAGTTTGTATTCACTGTGATATCATTTTTAATTAGCAACACAATATAAGAGCCATTCCCACACTGGTCCATTGTTAAAGATTGCTGTAAAGTGAATAAGCCTCTGATTTACTGCGGCATCTTAACACGCAATTAATGAGATGTCTCGCTGGTGAAGATGATCAGCATCATAAACAAGTGCCAGTCATAACAAAGAAATGAATTGCATCAAGCAAATGCCGCAGAGACGACCACATTTAGAGACACCCTCAGCACAATCAAGTGTTCGCAGCCAGCATTACTCATGAGATGACGACTTCATGCTAAGGCCACCACGGGCCTTTTCAACACGCCCACTCCTAATCCTGAAATACCTGCCCGGCGACTTTAATTAACCACTGTAGGATCCCGCCAGGCCAGACCCAAACCACCCCTCCTCACTACAGCTCCACATGTCCCTGCAACCTTGCCAATCCCTCCATTCCAAATTGAGCTGTAACTTCATCTGAGCCAGAAAATCCGAGGAGAAAATAGGCTCCGAATCACACATTCAGATGTAGCAGTGTAGGTGGAAGGTTTCTCCTACAGCCTGAGCCTTCACTGAATCCTTTGTCCTCTTTGTTTTTTTGTTTTTTTACACCACCTTTGATTGCGTGCAACTTTTAGAAGTTTTCGTGAGGACCATGTGCTCTGTTTCACAGTGTATATACACAGAACAAAAGGGGAGAATAAGTATGGTGTATTATGACTGGACGAATCCATACGTTATTAGAATGCTTTTAGTGGGGCTGCAATGCGAATGACTGAAATACAAATAAACCATTTTGTACATTTATGTGTCAGAACTAAAAGAGTTTAGACAACTTTGGGCAACTTGCTCACTCCTTCCAGTTTCTTCCTCAGCTGTGTCACCTGACCTCTCCCACCTCTCTGCTCACTTGCTCCTTTTCCTTCTTCTGTTCATTGTAATGTATCTCTGGAATGGGACGTGATGTTTAAAAACTGCATAACTTAATTTCATTCTGAAAGGTGGTAAAAACAGCAGTTCTGCCCCCAGGTGTTTCTTTGTTTCTCCTTTATTAAAACAACTCCAGCGTTCCCTCAACCGAAGAAACAGAGAGACTAAAAGCTCAGACCTATGCTAACTCATGTTTTATTAGATCAAGAATAAATAACTGGAGATATTGCATTCACTGTGAGCAGTGCTTCTATTTTTCTCAGTTGGCATTTCCAGGTCAAAATTTGGATGTGAATCAGATTTACAGAATCTTTACATAAAATTTATACTGAGAAGGCAGGGTACAAAAAATGTATGTAAATCAAAATGACAAGTGAGGTGCTGTGAGAAATGTCTCCATACTTTTGTCCAATGCCATGGGGTCTTTATCATTGCTATGCAGATAATTAAGTCTTGAACTTCCCTTCTCCTGTGGACCTTTTCTGTCCGTGCTATGTGAGGGTAAACAACTGGAAGCAATTCAACCGCATTCAACTAATTAGACATGAGACAAAAATAATTCTTTGCTGCAGTGAGAAAGGAAAACTGGAGACTCCCTTTTCATGCTTAGATGGACAGAATACATATTTCTTTCTTTTAGGTCGGAACACATAACTGATTCAAGGATTTTAAGTACAATTGTGACCTGAAAACACATTGAGATACTGATTACCCAGTGAGAAGGATCAGTTGTAGAAAACAAGTCTAAGGCAGCATCCACTGACATCTTGTTCTGTAAAACTGTTTCATAATAGTTTCTAAGATAATGCCAGCAACTATGTTTGCATGACTCAAGTGGAAATATGTCAGCCTGGAAAGCTATTTTTCTTTACTGCAAAGGAAGACACGATGCCTGTCGGAAGTGTGTCAGAATGTGTGTTTGTTGGTGAATCACTGCATCAGCAACTTGTCAGAGATCAAGCTTCAATCCCAATTTCTTCCTTTTGATCATGTTAGATGCACTAAGAATAGGAGTGTTCTTGCATTTTAATTAACTGAAAATATATAATTAATACCAGTTGCTTTCTGCTTGTCTTAGAATCATCAGCTGGAGGTGACACATGCAGGGAAAAGGCAAACATACTGGATTCAGAATAGAGGTGCATTTATAGCTGAAAGAGATTGGGGAACCTCACAAGATCTGAGATGAATGGTACCCTTTCCTTTCTGATACCTATTTTTTCCAACATCAGCCCCCAAATCCTATCAGAGCGTACACAGATCCTGGCTTAGCACCAGCCTGCCTCTACCCACGTCGCCCCCATGTGAAGCTGGAAATCAGAAATGTCTCCCCAGGACAATCAGTGTTATTTCTGGTGAGGAAATGCTCAGCGCGTGCGTGCATTTTGTGCGAACGTGTGGCGGGGGTGGTTAGCATGATTGAGAGGCAGCAGAGGAGAACTGTGTGTACTTATATATGTATAGGCGTGCATGTGTGTGCCTGCCCTTGTGTGCCTGCTTGAAAGGGGTCCAACTCCAAGGCCCTTGTTCTTCTGCAGGGTTTTGTGATGTCATCCTCCCACCTATCCTCTGTGTTTTCACACCAGTGTGAGTCAACCCACTCAAGCTCTCTTTGTGAGAGATGTATGTGTGCATACAATACCAAGCGGGAGGCATTTTGAGCCTGAATTCTGTCTCTACCTTTGCTTCTTCAAGCACATCTTGAAAGGACTTTCTGCAAGTTCCTGCACTCTACAAAGGGAAGCTGGGACACACAGAGCTGTGCAGATTTTTCACTAGCAGCTCAGATGTAAATCCTATGTGTCTTTAAAACAAGCCGATAATACATGCAGAATTTCAAAGCACCTTCTTCCCAAGAGTCATTTATCAGGCTGTTAATGGAATACTAACTAATAACCCATCATGGCAGGACTTTATAGATCTCTTTAGGTGACACAAAGGTGAATATGTAAAGTATTGTGGAGGAACATGGAAATGATAACATCTTTTTAAGCTCATGGTTGCTTTGTAGAAAGAAAATGGATTTGATAAACTCGACAGGTTTTGCTTCTAACTTGCCACTAAGCTTAAAACAAGAAGTATGCTGAAAGAATACAATAATTACTAAAGTAGACTGTTTACTGGCATGATAGTTTTAGCAACAGACATTTAACCAAAGTAAAAAGATCTTAAGGTGTATTCAAATGTTGCTGATCGGAGGGATGATGATACTGGGAATTATTTTTCACACTTCTTCAAACCATGCATGGACAGTATAAGCCAATGGTCTAGACCACATCCCAAACTGCAATTTTAGTCCAAAATATACAACTATCATTGCATAATAGCTCTTGAATTTGTGGTATGGAGGACATCGGATCTTAACCCTGGTCTTGGGTGGTATGATAACTCGTGGACAAAGATAGATTAAATATTTTATTTATCTGTTTTGTAGCTGTACAGACACGTTCTGGGACTACTTGACATTTTGTGAGGCCATGCAAGCACTAGGTTTTTTTTTCTTTTTTCTATCACTGCGCAGAGGAACTCATTTCGGAGGATAGACATGTATACAATCAAGTTTACCAAAATAAGTGTGAAGTAC